ACGTAGAAGAGTGGTTGGTGAGCATACGTGGGCTTTCGGTAAATTCTCCTCGGGCCATCACATTTATATGGGAACAAGCGGTCAATACTGTTCGTATTTTCTTACAAGCGCGTCGTGGGAACCGGAGGGAAGGGGTCGATATGAGAAGGATGTTTACACGGGGAGCCAGTCTAGGGAAGGGGGAGAGGAGTCGTGCGCCGACTCGTGCGGCCGGCGCTTGTCCAAAAGAATACGGGAGCAACACCTGGCATGGCTGAGCGAAGGCGAAATCAGGAGCGTAAACATTCTTGCCCATATTGTTGATTTAGGACATCGGGTGATCTATAAGGTTCCACCAAACTATCCAAAGTCCCTGGGTCAACGTCTGCTAGCAACAGCAGAAGCGACCGCTATCAGGGTGAGGAAGCCGACGTTGTGTGCGCAAAAGAACCTCTGACAAGCTGCACGTCCGGCAGGGTCCACAGCAACTTAGCTGCATGTACTCGTCTGCGCTCTCTTTGTCTCCCTCCCCCCTTAACCTTCCCCTTCCCTAGACTGGCTCCACCATACCCTCTCTGCGTAACCATCCGCGATTCCCATGACTCGCTTGTAAATTATTGACCACTTGTTTAACTTGCATCCCGCTCCCATAACAATGTAATGGCCCGATGAGACCAACTATTCTTCTACATTTTATGCTTAAAATGAGGGAATCAAGCGAGAGAGAGAGGGAGAGAAAGAGGATACGGTAAATTCTTACTCAGGGTGTGTCAGTATTTATAGGATGAAGGCGCTGCGTACCTAAGACCACCGTTCCTCCCCCTTCATCGAGAATGGCTGCTCTCTGTTACGCTAATTGCTGAGTAGGCAATATGTGAGTCATTTTTTTTTGCCGAAATTGCACAACCCGTATTGGATGGTGGTATAATGCTTGCTCGGCAATCCGGATTACTGGTATTGGAGTTGGAAAATGTGTTTACCTACGCGCTTCCCGATTGGATAATCGTTTTAACCGAACCAGTTCTCAGCAGCGAGTATGGTTTGGGGAACCCATTGTACTTGGTACTAGACGTAGGGACTCGTAAACCATGACTCAAGTGACTCGCGGCTCACGCGACTCTAAACTCTCGTGAAAATTTCGGCTTTATTGAAGGTGGGGCCGGCTGTCGTCAAATGAGCCAGCGATCGCGTCTACTTCTTGCCATTTCTATCTCGGGACTCGCATGTTCGCTTGTCTACCGTGAAGTTAAACAGTTAATAAAGGGACAGAACGCCAATCCGAATGGCAGAAGTCTCTAGTTTGATCTCCAACACTTTACGCCAATTTACGTTGATCGTTAGTGTTCGACATTGCAATCACAATGCTTCTAACCCAACTGTTCTCGTAATTTGATGCGGAAGGGACGAGCCAGCTGCTTAACGCAAGCTGCAGGTGCGATCTTGTCATTCGGCCTGAGAGGGGGTGGGCCAGGCATTCTGTCATCGCCTTCAATTTGTCTCCTGTTTCTGTACCAGTTAACGTATGCCACTAAGGGTGGTATCTGATCGTCTGGAATTCT